TTGATTTTTATCTTGTTGATATACCAAATTTTTGTACAGATGGAATCGTCAGGAATAAGAAATCTGTCTTACATTCAGCAAATAATTAACGTGGTACAAAAGGAACTTGCTCAGTTTTTCATTCAAACAATGGAACTCTCGTTACAAATCAACTCATGGAGAATGGGATGATACACACAACAGTGGTAAAAATTTTACACTTTAGAATCAAGAAGAAAGTTAGACCAAAAAACTCGACAAAAATATCAAGATGGAGATACCAGTAAGTGGGACTGTAAGGTATTATTTGATGCAATAATTTTTTCAAATTCAATTGGAAATCATCTTGACAAAAAAACAAAGGATGCTGTTCATGCACTTCGTTGTGAAAGAAACAAGTACGCACATTGGTATGAAAGCGAATGCTCAGATGATGATTTTGATGATATAGTCAACATCATTGAAAAATCATTTCAAGATTTGAAATTTTCTCTCGATAAAATCAATAAAATAAAAAATCATCGAAATTGTTTTAATTCGTTCCAAGTTCTTCCTTCAAAATCTAATCATTTTTTTGTTGAACGCACTGAATTACGAGATAAAATTATAAAAGATCTTGAAAAATTAAGCAATGATAACAATGATAAACTGACATATTTTTACATCACTGGTAATCCTGGCAGTGGTAAATCACAACTTGCAAGACAGGTTTGTGAAAAAATATCGTGTGATTGGAAAAATAGAACTTCGTTTGTAATGACTCTCGATGGAAAAAATGAGGAATCTCTTTTAAAAACTTACTGTGAACTTGGATACCGTTTAAACTGTGACAAGGATATGATTAAAAAATTTGAAGATGAAAATTGTTCCATCGCAGACAAAGTGAAGAATTTGCGATCGTTAGTATCCACACGATTAAAATTCTGGCAAAATTGGTTGATCATTGTAGACAACGTGGCACAGCTCAGCAAAATTTCTTCATTACTCCCCCAAGTTGGTGATCCCATGTGGATAAATGGACAAATCATAGTAACTATCCAGAACACAGATGCCGTACCTCAAGACGATGAGTTTAACAAACATATTTCTATCAGAAGTGGAATGAATGATAAAGAATGTTGTCAACTGTTGGAATATTACACTAAAGATGATAATACTGATGATCAATTGTTGAATGAAGTATCCCACGCATTAGATCGTCAACCGCTGGCTTTGGCTGCCGCTGGTTGTTATGTCAGTCGTGTAAACAAAGCAAACTGCTCATTTACTTGGAGACAATATTTAAAGAAAATATCTTCAGAAGAACAAGAAAACATGGACGCCACTTTGTTAAATTTAACTCGGTATATCCTAGAAGTATGTTACAAGCTTCACTTTTAGCTGTCAGACAAAATGCTGAAGAATCCTCAATATTGGCAAATGTTATTAACTTTTTTTCCGTGATATCGTTTGATCCTATACCACGAGACATTATTGTTTTTATGTTCAAAAATAGATCCCAAACACTCAAAGGAAGATATATGTCTTTGTTTAAAGGACTGCTCATTGTTCTTGCATTCAGAAAATAATGACATTAGTCTACATCGCATTGTTCACAAAGCAATTATTGTTTATCAATCTGAACATTCAAACGAAGAACATGAAATGGAAACTAACGTTGATCAAATATCTAAAGCACTTTACATGTTTAAAGAGAGAGACGACGAAATCAAATTAATGCCACATCTTGAAAAAATTGTTCAATTATTAAAGACCAACAAGACAAAAATCAACATGAACACTTTACAAGTTTTCCAATATTTTGTTGAGAGATTAAGACATTTTGGAAAATACGATCTTGCTCTTGAACTATTGGACAAATATAAATCAGAATCTAGTTATGACAAAGCTTGGTATTTTGATACCCTAGGTGTTTTATACCAAGACACCGGGAAGTATAGCAAAGCTAAAAATCATCACGAAAAAGCTCTGGAAATTCGAAAACAATTGTTCGGTCCAAATCATGTTCATGTCGCTACGTCTTTAAACAATCTTGGTAATGTGTATAGTGATACTGGAAACTACGACAAAGCTATAGAGTTTTATGAAAAAGCTCTGGAAATTCGAAAACAATCGTTAGGTCCAAATCATGTTGATGTTGCTACGTCTTTAAACAATCTTGGTAATGTGTATAGTGATACTGGAAACTACGACAAAGCTACAGAGTTTCATGAAAAAGCTCTGGAAATTCGAAAACAATCGTTAGGTCCAAATCATGTTGATGTCGCTGCGTCATTAAACAATCTTGGTAATGTGTTTGAAAAAACTGGAAACTACGACAAAGCTATAGAGTTTCATGAAAAAGCTCTGGAAATTCGAAAACAATCGTTAGGTCCAAATCATGTTGATGTCGCTGCGTCTTTAAACAATCTTGGTAATGTGTTTAAAAACTGGAAACTACGACAAAGCTATAGAGTTTCACGAAAAGCTCTGGAAATTGAAAACAATCGTTAGGTCCAAATCATGTTGATGTCGCTGCGTCTTTAAACAATCTTGGTAATGTGTATATGAAACTGGAAACTACGACAAAGCTATAGAGTTTCATGAAAAGCTCTGGAAATTCAAAACAATCGTTAGGTCCAAATCATGTTGATGTCGCTACGTCTTTAAACAATCTTGGTAATGTGTATATGAAACTGGAAACTACGACAAAGCTATAGAGTTTCATGAAAAAGCTCTGGAAATTCAAAACAATCGTTAGGTCCAAATCATGTTGATGTCGCTACGTCTTTAAACAATCTTGGTAATGTGTATAGTGATACTGGAAACTACGACAAAGCTATAGAGTTTCATGAAAAAGCTCTGGAAATTCGAAAACAATCGTTAGGTCCAAATCATGTTGATGTCGCTGCGTCTTTAAACAATCTTGGTAATGTGTTTAAAACTGGAAACTACGACAAAGCTATAGAGTTTTACGAAAAAGCTCTGGAAATTCAAAACAATCGTTAGGTCCAAATCATGTTGATGTCGCTGCGTCTTTAAACAATCTTGGTAATGTGTTTAAAAACTGGAAACTACGACAAAGCTATAGAGTTTTACGAAAAGCTCTGGAAATTCAAAACAATCGTTAGGTCCAAATCATGTTGATGTCGCTACGTCTTTAAACAATCTTGGTAATGTGTATTATGAAACTGGAAACTACGATAAAGCTATAGAGTTTCATGAAAAAGCTCTGGAAATTCGAAAACAATCGTTAGGTCCAAATCATGTTGATGTCGCTGCGTCTTTTGGTAATCTTGGTATTGTGTATAGTGATACTGGAAACTACAAAAAAGCTATAGAGCTTTATGAAAAAGCTCTGGAAATTAAAAAACAATCGTTAGGTCCAAATCATGTTGATGTCGCTACGTCTTTAAGCAATCTTAGTAATAGGCTTAAAAGAACTGGAAACTACGACAAAGCTATAGAGTTCCTCGAAAAAGCTAAGAAAATTCGCAAAAAAAACGTTAGGAACTAGTCTGGTTGATGTTGCTAAGTCTTTTAGACAATCTAGGTGTGTTGTATTATGAAACTCAGGAATATGACAAAGCTTTACACTTACACTTTGGTAGCTACTTGTTTCAAAGAAAATTGTGAGTTCTAAATCATGTTAAGCCTATTTTTAACACATAGACCGTAGGAGCAAGACTTCCACCTGCCAAGTCAGCTCCCCTCTCCCTAAGAAGGTATTTTGGTAGTGAATAAAACGTTTGCAATTTGCATTTTGTGAGGTAAAATGAACCTAAAGATGTAATGATCCTTGTCTATATATAGTTTCACTTATATCTAGTCAATAAACTTACTCTACAGCCGGGAATCATCCTAAGTCGAACTTAGAACTGCCCATGCCCTGAATAGGACATTCTTCTTTAGACTTTATTTCTAAAGTAATTTGCTTTTATCTAAGAACCAAGTAGTAATTTTTATTGTATGATTTACTAACATACTAAAGTATATTGGGATGACAGAATTTTATTAAATAAATACTATCCTGTTAGTTGTTCATATTCTTTGATACA